AAGATTATTATAAGTAGTTTAAAACTATTATTATTTGTGACATTTAGTTAAACTACCTATGACAACTGCAATTCATTTTTTTAAATATTTTTAAACGTATATTAAACTAATAAATCTACTTGTTACCTATAACCTAAATAGTGCTTGAGATAAGCCCAAGTGGATTTCTTGAGTATTATAATATTAGTTTTATTAGTATAGTTATATTTATAGTAATTTAATTTATAAATCATATTATATAATTCTTTAAAAATTTAATTGTTATATTCTGAACGGATTAGTGAAAGTTTTTAAAGTTTTTTACAACGATTAATATTGATACTACTGCAAAATTCCTCATGAATTTTGTTTAATAGGAATTAAGAAAAACAAGATTAGCGTTAAGTCACATTTTTATGAACGATTAAAGTTCTAATTTTTATGACACTGGATGACTGGATATTCAAACATATAATAACAATTCATTCTTAAGAAAAAAAGCTTGAAAATTTAATACGAAACTCTACATAAGTTTTTCTTATAGCAATTTAAAAATATTAAAAATTCATGAGCACTACTTTTATTTTTTTGTAGATATTCAAGTTCAATTTTTACTAAATAAGATATTTAAACAAAAAATAATGATTTAGTATACTATTTTTTTGTAATTTAAAAAATACTATTCGTAGGAACATTTCGTTATTACGCATATTATTATTTACTAAAAACACTGACAATTTAAAAATATTTATATTACTTTTAAACTAAATACCAATTTACAACTTATTCATATCGTTTTACGGTATCTACGTTTGCATTCTACAGTTTAAATCGACTTATTCGTTAATAACAGCTAATAATATTTATGAAACATTACTTTAATAAATATTAGTAGTTATAATATTATAGTATATGTAATTTATTTTTTTCAACTAATACGTACAACATACCTACTTAAAGATAAATTACTATTTGCGATATTTTAATAAAATGTCAATAATAATTTTTCATTTAATTCAAATTTAACACATCCATTATAATGAAGTATTCTAACAAAGTGTAGCTACTAGTTTTTTATAAATAATTCAAATAAGAATATAGTAAATTAGTTATTATTATCTAGTTATTGTTTTTTTAATTATGCGTATATTTTTCAAATTAAAATTAAAATACTTTTTATACTCTAAATACATATTTTTTATGTATCTAGTAAATTATATTATACGTTGACTTGTACAAATAGGTATATGTCTACACAACACTATGTATAATTTTATAAAATATTCTTTTCCACCAACTGCCTACATGATCAAAAATAACTTTCTACTTCTCAGGAGGACAAATGTTAATGTTATTAACGTAATAATTTAATTTGGTTATTCACTCATCAATTTGGCAAATGTTATGTTTGTGTCGTAATATTTTTATATTATAAACATTGAAAATAATATCATCAAAATTAAAAATAATTATTAAATTTTGTTATTCAACAAAAACAGTAAACACTTTGTTTAAAGTTACTTAATGCCTAAAAAACTAATGATCTATTATAATTTCAAATAATTTGTAAATATTCGTATAGTAATTTATTTAAAATTTACTTGGTTTACGTCATGTATTACAATTATTACTTATTTTATCAGAGAATATGGATCATAATACCCAATGATAAAAGTAAACAACGATTAATAACAATATAATACATACTTCTAACGAAACGCAAGAAAAGCCATTGGCATAAGTTAAACGGTTATTATTCAGTACTTGCTATTCATTACTTGGAAATTAACAATATTATTAATTTATGTGCCAGTTTGTACCTTGATATTTATAATGTACCTACTTACTACTACCTTGTTATTTATTTTTTTTATTTTTATCTTAAAAAGAATAAGTTTAGTCAATTTTTTTTTTTTATATTATATATCTACAGTCTAACTTACCTGTATGAGTGTTTACACTCTAGAGTATGTACAAAAATACTGTTTTGCATATTCGTATAAAATATATTACTGCATATTAATTACCACACGTATTTTTTGTCTCTATAAATAACAAATTATATTTGCGTACAGATTATGTTTTGTTAAAAACCAAAATTTTAATAACCATTCTTATATTTTTAGTGTTTTAAATAATACATATTCTTGCATATTTGAGCGTTTCTAGAATATTTTTTGTAAATTTTGAATGCATACTTTAGACTAAGTATGATACTTAAAAGTTTCTTAGCAAATTAAATTCACAGCCTTACTGTTTTAATAATAATAATGAATTATTAATATTCATAATTAATTATTGAGGCATTGAATGTGAAACAAATAAATAATCTAGATATTTTATGTTCATAAAAATATTTGTGTAATAAAATTGAGTATATTATATTTAATAAAAATGTGATAAAATAATGTCCTGAAAAATACTAAAAGTTAATTTGATACCTATAAAAACGTTTACTTTCAATAGTATCAGTAAATTACTAGATATACCTATGCTAACACACATTTATATTTTAGGTCTTGGGCTGAGTTATTATTTATTATATAATGATATAGATTTTTTCTTCGTGTCTGGGAATGTTTTTATTAGTTGATTAAGCGTGTTCTAATGAATTATATCATATCATATACCTATTGATAAATGTTTAATACATTCGGAACATTATGCACCGTTCTAAAGTTTATGAGTTTAGTAGGTTAGGTATAGTCAATATTAACTACAGGTTATAGATATATAAAATATAGATAATCTGGTGTATATTGATCTATGATAGTGTTGTTATTTTCCATTATATTTAATTTAGAATCTTAGTACATCTGTAAAAATTACAAAATTATTATTTATAGCTTGGTAAGTGCTAGGTGAACAATTATATATTCATGTTTATGTTTAAGCGTCATCGTATATATTTTAATGAAAAACAATCTTCTTTTAGTTTGGTCGATGATCGATGTAGAGTTGTAGAAAATAATCAAATATGTACATAGTTAAACGTTAAACTATATAGTAACCATTAAGTTTATTGAAAGGGAGAATTTAAAGGGTCAAAATGACCCCTGCCTTATTAAAACAAATTCTTATATTAAGCACTTTTACGTATTGATACAATCACGAATTAATAAGAAAAATTATTTATTCTTAAATTAAATATGTGAAATACTTTTAAATTAGCCTCCGATTGTATAGACGATACCGAAAATCTGGTGGATAACATTGCACTATGTATAATGACGTAGTGTATTCATTGATATCAATCAGGGGTGGATTTTTCATTAGGCACTGTAGACAACTGCCTAGGGCAGCAAATTTAGTAGTGTTTTATTAAAAAACATCAAAATTATAAAAAAAAAAATGAAAAATTAATTACTTTATATTTACGAAAAATAATTAATAATGTGCGTATTTATTTTATATTTTATATTTTTCTATATCGTGTATGGTATACGGTTGGGGTAACTTGTTCAATTGTTCATATAATATAGAGGCGGCAAATTTTTGGTGCCTAAAGCCGTAAAAAAGATAAATCTGCTTCTGATATCAATAAAGTAATTTATTTATTTTATTGTAAATTACTAATTTATATGATCAACATATTTAATAAAATAGTAAATTAGTTATGTTTGGATAGGCATAGGGCATCAGACTAATAATTAGACTTATAAAATCTATATTTTTTCCAGTTATCTAAAACGAGTTCGTTTGGAGTTTGGACAAACTTTTACGGAAGGTTGTGTACCATTTAAAAGAAAGCAATTTGAGCGAAAACATTGTCCTTTTGAACAATATGTTTAACAGAATTAGTATAATTTGGCGGGAGAGATTAAAAATATACTTTTTTGTACAACACAGTTCTGGAGTACAATTTTAGGGGTTGCCCTCGCCCCCTCCCCAAATGTATTTAAACCATACACATAAACATTAATTAGTCAAAGTTTCTGTATGAATAATATATAATACGTTATTAATTTATTCATATATACCTTGTTAAGAGTTAGTATAGATATATGTAAGTATTAAGAATTTAAAAATTATTACATTTTTTTTACATAAATACAACAAAAATATATTTTTGAGGTGCTTGCGTGATTAATTTTTTCCTTCTTTCTATAATAATACACCAATTAGATAATATTTATTCTGTAAAACTAAAAATAAAGAGTAGATAAAATACGATAAATTGATTACGTGTCTACGTGTATAGACTACAACTATTGACTACTATTACTTATTAGTACTATTAATAATCGTGATAAAATCTTACAGTAAGTCACTACGGTTTTACCCAAATTATATTGTTTTGTCATAACTCGGTTTATCAAGACAAAAGCCAAAAAATGACAGTTTGCTCAAGTACCGAAGCAATTCGTGTTTTGCCCAAACATTTCTGAGGTTTGCCCGATATTGACTTGCCCGTAACATACCTATACCGGCTATACCTATATGTTATGCAGAAAAGATATTTTTACAAAATAAGTCACATATATTAATACATATATAAACCAATCAATCAAAACTAAGAAAAATAGGTTGACACTTTTACACATTACACACTCTTTAATTTTGTACCGCGCACTTGGCATTTCATAAACACATGATTTTAGTTCTTATTGGACAGTACTGAAATTTTTTTTAAAAAAAATTGTTAAAATATTATATCAGATTTTGCTGGGAATTATGTGATTCAGATTTCAGACATGGAAAATGTCTAAGTATAAATAAAAAAATAATCTCGAAAAAATATGAGTACCTACCCCTACCTACCCATCATATTATCTGTATATCATACAGATATTCAAGATAAGATTTTAAAATATGAAGTGAATTTAGTGAACTAATTGAAAACTTGAAATGTATAACGTATGATACACAATTCAACTTGCTAAATACTATCTTTCGTTATACTTGGCGCTTAGCAACGGTCATACAGTTACGTATATCGTAATTTGTAAATTATTAATTTTAACAGAAATGTATAATCTATTATCAGATGCTTTATCAATTATCATTATCGCTTAATGCCTATCAATAATTTTTGTTCGTTTTAAACGTTGTTATATTCTATGGCTTTAAACGTTTAAACCACGACTTTAGATAATGAAGAATAATAGTTTATTTTTCTAAAATCTAAACCTGTGATTTCAAAAGATAATTATTTTGATTTTGAACTTTTACATGACTGTGGCAATGTGCCTAGTGTGGCCTATGGGTTAACGTTTTACTCTTAACTCCATAGATCATCCGCTTTTGAATTTTTGATGTTAGTCAATAGACAAGAATTCATCTAAAACAAGAGTTGTAAGTAGTTGTATTTGTCTGTTTGATTGAATCGTTTTGTCATTGATAAATAATATCACCTCCTCATAAAATGGCAGATGAAGTTAAAATGTAAGAAATTTAAGGATAAATATTACTTGTGCTTTTAACTTGTTATTTAACTTTTACTTTTAAATCTAGATGCGAGATTCAAGGGTTGGAACTAATATTAAATTCAATTAACTGTGAAAAGTATAAATCCAAGTTTGAAAATTATGGAATTAATGAATATACGTTTGCTCAATTGACAGTGGATGATCTCAAAGACCTGAATGTAGATAATGAGGATATTAATACTATATTAACTGCAATAAATGTACTCAATAAGACATTAAATCGCGGTGAAGTACGATTATCGTAAGTGAATTGATCATTGACTGAAATTAAAAACATAAAATTATTATCATCATTATTTCATATATATATATATATATGTGTGTGTAACATATTTTTATCAAATATTCAATATCTTTATTGTTATAGAAATGATGAAATTCTTAAACTACAGTCTGCAATTCATGGGCAACTTGGATACATTGCTTTAATTTTAAATCAGATATATTGTTCTATCAATAGTGATAACATCCATTTAAATGATATGTTAATTGATAATCATATATCAGCAATTGATGCTGCTTTCATGTTAAAGCCATACATGAGAGCAGAAGAAAAAAACATTGAAAATACATTAAAAAATGTTTTTAAGGTAATAAAAATGTTAATTTATTAATTTAAAATTATAAATATATATTTTAAAGTATAGAATCTGAAATTATTAAAAAAAAATGTTAATCTACACTTGTACTTAAAAATGATAACAAAAAATTATTAAGTCATAGCAGTCTCAAAAAAATTTCAAAATACTTCTTCTTTTTTTATTTGAAATCACTAGTTGTATTTTTGTTCATAATAAATATGTTAAAACTTAAATCTATCAATTATTAACCAGTATAGTTAATTTTTAAGTTATGTTTATATAATGTAAATTTTTGTAAGTTAAAAATGTTTGTTGACTCAAATAGGAGTACATTATTCTTTATCCTTGCCCTCTCTTAGAACTTTAATTTTATTAGAATTCAAAGTTATTAAACAATAAGTAATTTAAAAAATAAAAATAAGGTTTTTTAAATTTATTGAGAATACTATGATTTTTGAAAGAAATCATTTTTTCTTGAATTCTATTAATATTATTTGCCATGTAAAATAAATATTTTAAATAAAAAAAAAATTAAAATTAAAAATAAGTATAGCATTTATTCTATAAATGTATTTACCTTGTATTTATTATTTATGTTTATTTTTCTTACTTATTGATTGTGTATTTTAGATTACTACAAGAAGAAAAACCATTATGATTACTACAACAATGTGCATAGTCCTTGTATTTGGTCTTACGTTTCAACGTCTAAATTATTCATTCAACTTTAATTCTGTATTTAAAAATTTAATATTAAACAAATTAACTTTGTATCATTTAAATTAATTTTTGTATAATATAGTTTATATTATTCTAAAGACTGTTTTTATAAATCTATAAATGAAATTCCATTTTAGTTTGTATTAAAAGTCAATTATTTAATTTTATATTATTTGTTTAAATATTTAAATATGAAAAGTTAATAATAATAAATGATTTTGTTCTTAAAATATTTTTCTCGATCGTTATCTTTAGAGTTTTTAAACAACAATTTAAAAATATGGACTGGTTAGGTTTTGGTATTTAGTACTAATCTGTTTTTAGTACATAATAGTGAATAGTGATGTACTAATGAATTAATATATGTTTTATAGAAATTATTAACTATTGCATTTAAAATTACCAGATAGATATCAACCTAATAAGTTTTAGATTTTCTAATGTTTACTTACAGATACTATTATTAATTTGATTCAGTTATATTTTCTACTAATATTTGTACTAATTTGTCAATATTTAAAAAATTAAATTGCGGCCAAATATTCATAACCAGTGTCCAGCCCATATTTTGAGCAGTCCACTGAGATTTTTTCAGTAGTTTGCCTACCCAATCTAGGCCTATAAATGGCATCATTAAGGCTGAAATTTCTTCAAAATAATTTGATGGTTGTTGATTGTTCTTTTTTAAAAATAACCTTTTCAGAATAGCAGCTAAAATTGATAGACACAGTTATTTTAAACTTTAAGAGTATTAATTTTATCTTAAATTATAATATATGAAAAAAAAAGCAAATATAAAACATCAATTTATAACTAACTTTATTTAAAAACTAACATTAACGGTTTACAAACATACTAAATTAATAATTTTAGTATTTGTAGATAAGCAAAAATTCTAGATTTTTGTAATCAGTCGATTACCTTACTTTATTAAAATAATTTTAATTAATTATTATGTAAGATTTTATAAATTTATTGATTCAAAATTATTCTAATTTAACTAATTGTTAACATATTCAGAGTGGTACTTACTCAAAATCTATTTAATATATATAAAAATTTACATAATGACAACTGTCAATTATAACTTGACCATTATTTCTTGTTAGGTATGAAATTACTTATAGTATTTAATTGTGAATTGAATTTTTCACACCTTATGAAAAATAATAATGATGCCATCTGTATAGTGTATATATTATAAATTTACCCCCCTGTCAAGATATAAAATATAATATTAACATAAGACCCCCAGCTAGGAGGCCACATTGAGTCCATATGGCAATGGCATATTATTAGTACCTAACATATAAGTTTAAGCGTTATTTAAAAACAAGATGAGATAGATTATTATTATTTTTGTCTGTTAGCGTGTAGGTATACAATCGTTTCTGTTCATAGTTTAGTTACGGGTTTACAATCATCCCGAATTTGTTTGCCTTTACAAAGAATGTAATAGGATATTATTTTTGAATACTTACAACCCAAAAATCTTCCGTAATTAGTTAATGCGAAAATTTGTTTTTACATCAGAATTTATGCAATGAAACACATTTATAATATCAACAACATGCTGGACAACAATGATGAAGATTCGTCGTGCTCTTGCAAGTAATAATTTTTTAGATTTTAATTTAATCAAGAAAAATTACAGAACTAAACTAATTCATAATAATATCTACTATTTCGGATACAATATTGTTAGGACTTACATGCAACATGACGCAATAATACAATTACTTATGTAGTAGGTATCAAATAATAACATAGCATTAAGTATTGCAGTAGTGAAATTTTAGTGTAATAAACACATAGGATATAGAAAGATACTCGTATTTATTTAGGTTAAAATAAGAACTATTTTTCTTGTAACATACTTGTAATCTATTTGATTCCAAGCGTATTTTTACTTTTTAGTTTATATTGGTAACGGTTAAAATTTTTTATTAAAATACTAAAAAATTATAAAACTTATAGGTAGGTAACTGCATATCATTTACATTTTAGACTTTAGAAGACCCGTTGTCTGTTAAACAATATATGTATCTACCTATACTATACCTAATGGCTAATTTATAATTTACCTACAGCCTACATGCTTTATTATGTAACAACATATTTGTTATATAAATATAATTTATATACCTATATATAACAAATGACTAACATGAGATATATTATATTTTTCTTAGGTACAAAATTCAATTCAAATACATAATAGTACTTATTTCTGATTGCATTACTCAAGTCTATATGCATTTAATATACATATTACATTATATTTAATATATTTTGTTGAGGCTTGATTATAGGTACGTTTTTTATGTTATAGAAAAGTAGTTTAAGTGCTTTAAAATATCATTGGACTAATTAAAATTTAAATATGGCCAATATGAGTACAATTTTCGTACATAATATTATTTTAAATTTTCCTCAGATTGCGGATCGTTTGATTTAGACTGACTGAAATACATTTTAAAATTGAAATATAGTAATAATTAACTTGGGTAGTTATAAATATATAGCAATTTATAATAGATATTTTAAATAATTATAAAAAAAAAGTATAAAATATCAATGAGTAATATGTTAATTATTGGATTTGTACCAATTAAAAAGTATAAAAATAGTCAATTGTACAATTTGGTGAATTATCCAATATATTTTTGAAATTAAAAATTGCTCTTATTTATTAAGAATTTCAACAATTTCAAAAATTTTCGAAAAATCAAACAAAAAATACATGCTATTTTGTAAATTATATTGAAATGTGATCATTAATGATATATTACATAAAAAAAAAAAAAAACTACAGGTATATAGCAATAGTATAAGTACCTATAAAGGTATGACAGACATCATCATTTAATTTTAATCTATTATACATAATATAATTTATATTATACGCGTATATTATAAACAATAATCATTCAATGTATTATAATATATTTTAAACACATAATTAGGTGGGAAAATTGTGATTTGTACATGAATAAAACAGAACTGCCAAAACATGTAATAAACCACATTGCCCCAGAATCCCAAGGGTTATTCTACTGCAAATGGAAAAGTTGTACGAGAGGAGACCGAGCTTTTAACGCCAAGTAGATTCTTTTCTATAGCTCACTAGATTACAATAAAATGTTATCCTTTCGACATTGTAAGTATAGATTCATTTTTAGGTACAAGATATTAGTCCACATACGCACCCATACAAATGACAAGCCGCATCAATGCCATATATGCGGTAAAAGCTTTACGCGGGCTGAAAATTTGAAGATTCATGCTCGTTCGCACACAGGTAAGTAACAATAAAATTAACATTTTTATATATTATATTATTATTATTATGTTTTAAAAATAATAATGAATAATATAAAGCAATTGAAGCACAAATGCGGTTAGTTATTATTATTTATATAAATTATAAATATATATAATCTTAAACAAAAGTAAGTATACCTGTAAAACTATTAATTTTGATAGCTATATATGAGTATACGATTGAATTAACTATGACCATCTATTATAGTAGATAGAATTATATCATCTATAATCTATATTATGTTACCGTGAATGTCCACAGTTGCCAATTGGTGGAATGCTGGCAGTCGCCGGGTGACTGTCGTCATTGCTTTGATACACCAAAATCATTGGAAGCTAAAAAATACTTTCGATACGCGTCAGGTTTCAATGCATTACATTCTTTATCTGTATATATATCATTTATATTATATGCAGACGCACAGGCAATAACACACTATAGCGAAGTAGCTACCCGCCTACAACTTGTATCTCAGTGATACGTTGAAAATAAATAAGGTTTTCGAATCAGCATGTAGTAATGATGATGTATGATGGACATTGATTACTTAATGTACCTTCTTCTATAATATAGAAGTTAATAATTTATATTTTAATCAACGTGATAGCTAATTATGTAAATTTTTTAATTTCTCGTATAAATAAATACTTCCTTACATCATGTAATCAATATTCTAATGCGTTTATACAATATTACAATCTGTACAAAATAAGTCTGTTTTCAATTTTATCAAAGAAATTTTCATTTATTTATTTTATAGGTAAGTATACTTACTCGCGAGATCGTGCTTTAAACCCGTACCTACGTATTTAGAACCATTACACAATTACAAATATACATTTTAATCTATTAATCTTGGAATATTTAAATTTTTATCTTTTTGTTCTAGCGAAAAAAAAAATAATTAATCGATGATGATAATTTATTATTTTTCAAACAAGTAATCAAGTGACGCACTGTACCTATAACCTAATACCAGAAAAAAACAAATAAAATAAACTTAATAAATAATAATATACCTACCTAATTATAATTTAATTATTACTATATATTACTTACTGGATAATTAAATTAGTTATAATCTAAGTGTAATAAAAATTACTTATATTATTTAAATTAACTTTAAATTAGTTGAGTATTAATTAATTAGCTATATTTGATAAATATATTAATAGGTAGGTACATGGCAAATACCTCATATATTTTACACATAAAACTTTAAATACCAGTCTCTATATAGCCATGTTGGTTCAGATTAGGTAGGTATTAAATACCATGATTTTATATTTTAAACCCTGGCTATAAAGAAATATATAGGTATGTTAGCTACTCATTAAGTAACCACTATACACATACGACATACTATCACTAAATCATTACCAATAAAATAAACTTATTAAAACATTTTAAAACATTAGAAAGGAAATTTATTCCAATTTAAGTATTATCATTGAATATATATATATATATATATATATATACACAATAGTATTATTGGTATTATCTACTTTACATACTTTATTTTATCTTATTATATAACGAATTATTTTTAATTAATAAAGTTAATATTAGTTATTATTTCTATATGAAATAATCCAAATAGGTATGTTATGATAAATAATATACTTTATTAGTTTTTTAATGAAACTTATTTTAGTCGTGTGTATGGCCGAATGGGTTTAGCAGAAGCATACCAATATTTAGTATTTTTCTGGAGAAGAGAAAAAGTGACTAGATTTTGTCTCTATCACTTTTCCAAAGATGATTAGAAATTAGAATTAAAGATTTTTCAGAATATCTGGGCCAAAACACGTACATTTTTATATATCATAAGATATTTGATTTATTTTAATTTTGCGATGTGATAAACAGATAAATCATACTTTTAAATTTTTATATATCACACAAAGTGTAGATCCAATGGACGATGGTTGGCCCCTACCACCCTCTCTTTAAAGTATGCCCATGGAATTTAGTGTTATTCGGATTATTTTGTAAAAAATGAAACTAATAACTTTATTATGTAACTTATTGTTTTGAGATTTTATCACTTGATACTTACCTATAACTACATTTACGAAATTAATAGGTAACTAGATGAAACTTATCAGTTTGTTTGTTATATAATCGGGTAAAATACATATTAACACAGTTTAAATTGTTACGTATTTATGAAAAATAAGTTCTTTGAACATATTATTGAGATAGATGTGGAGGAATTTTGCAGCCTTCCAACCACTTTCTCTGGAGTTTTAATATTCTATAGTTTTTTTTTTTTTGATTTCACTGTGCATGATTGTAAAATATAGGTATAATTTTATATGGTAAATATTATTTGTATTTGATATCGTATATTGTTAATAGTATATAAAACTATAAAAGTTCATGTTCTAGAGTATTGTTAATTTATAGATGCACTGCAGCTAAGACTTTCCCCTTCCAGTTATACACAATTCGAGAAAAAATCTATAATGTACAGACATAGAAACAACTAAAGACGCCACCAAAGATCTTTGGTTGTTACAATCTGTTTCCATCTATTTCTAACATTTTATTTCGATTAGTTTCATACTAAGATATTATCATTATCGTACTAATCAATAATTAATAATTTCCTTTTTATAAACAGTTTAAATAGATTTAGATACAATTGGTTACTGAGAAAAATATCTCCTGGGTTATTAATTATTATTCTTATTCATAATCATTAATCATTAACCACAATTAGCTTCTATATTTTTTTTTATCTATATTCTAATCTATTTGTAATTAATTATTATTATTATTATTATTATTATTATATATTTATAATGATTATCTAATAATTAATTGTAAATTGTAATTGTCGAAATACATTTTATTTGCTCTTGATAATTAAAAAAATATCAAACAAATAGTTAGATGTGTGTTGTGTGTTGTTTATAGTTATAAATGTTATAATTATTATATTATTTATAAATATTTAAATTGAATTTGTAACAAATATAAAATGCAAGATTTGAAGTTAGGAATATTAATACACAGGTGAGAAACCATACATTTGTTCAGTGAATGGATGCAACAAGGCATATTCCAATACGAGCGATCGCTTCAAGCACACCCGAACGCACTTCATCGAAAAACCATATGCTTGTCGAGTGGAAAGCTGTTTGAAAAGATACACTGACCCCAGCTCCTTGAGAAAACATGCTAAAAGTCATAATCATCAAGTAAAGGTGGTATTAAGTATGTATATTTCAACAATTTATAAATTACAGTTATATTAATATATTTTATTCATCAATTGGCAAACTTTAAAAAGTAGGTACTTTAAATTTGAATAATTAATTATTGACATTATTTTAAGTTCAATATCATCAGAGAACTAGGTATTTCCAATGTAAGTAAATATATATAAGTAACTTATTTGAATGTAGCCAATTCATTTTTACAACAATCAGTAGTTAAAGTTTAAGGGGTTAAAGGTCGGTGACCGATCAAAATATCTCCGATAGAAAATACCTTTAGTCAAACATATCTCCAATGGAAATATTTCCCGTGATAATATTTAATAATATTTTAAAATATGTTATCGAAATCATAATATGTAATTTTTAAAATAGTATGTTATGATTATGAAAATTAAATAAATGTAAAATATAAAAATATAAAATCCTAAATATCAAATAATACAAATAAGTGGTCAGTGTGACAGTAAAATATTGTGATTAGTTATTATTGTCTATGGGATTATTTTCTAAATATTATTAGTAGAAAATGTACATACTTCAGTAATCACAATATATGATATCAGTATTATTATAAATATATTACAATATATATTTTTTATACTTTTAATAATTGTAGTTATAAAAAATTAATATATTGATATAAAATATAATAAATATTAAAATATTTTCATGAGAGATATTTCCATTAGATATATTTTTAACAGGAGGTAATTTTTGCTGAAGATATTTTAAATTAGTGATATTTTTAACTAGAGATATTTTGTAACAGAAATATTTTGTTGAAGATATTTTGACATGGAACCTAAAGGACGAAGGAAAACTTCTCGAGTATATTGCATTAAATTGTAATAGTGATATTGCATGTCATTAAATTTCCATTAAAAGTACAGTGAATCACAAATACTGTTATAGCTTAAATAATTAAAACTAATATTTGTTTGGATTCTATATGAAGACTGATAGGTTAAATAAAATATTTCGTTTATGTTAATGTTGTTAAATTATGAATGAAGCGATGAATCACGAATATACTACATTGATTTATAATGATTTATATGTGTGTATGTGTTTTTTTTTTTTTTTTTTTTGAAATAAAAGTTAGATATAATAAAGTTAGATTAGAAAAACTTCAACCTTCAATTTTAAGGATGCAAGTTTTTGGTAAAAAATAGAATCTAATTTTTACTTAAGTTGAATAAAACATTTTCAAAATACTTATAAAGAATTGTATGAGTGTGTTTATAGTTTAAAAAGATTGGAAACTTAAATAAAAAATAATGATTTCTTCTCAAATTATTTTTATTTTTTTATTGTGATTCGAAAATAATTAAAATATTAATCATAAACACTTGAAACATTTCACTAATACCTAACTTTATTATTTTCTGTACCTACACAACAAAATGTTCAAAATATTCAGACTAATTTTCAGATACTTATTTATAATATACGGCAGAGGTACTCAAACTTATTTTCATATGTATAAAAACTCTCATGTACTATACTATTCATGTGTATTATGGATCAGTAGTGTACCGCTAGGCATTAATTAAATATAGAATTATTAAAAATTGCAATACATTTATGGGTATTATAGCAATAATGTATAAAAATAATAATTTAGGTGCATTTAATATTTAACGGTATACGAACATTACCTACTAAGTAATATCGTATTTAGTACTTATTTATACAAAACACAAAATATTTTTAAATTCATTGCAAACATTAGTAAAAATATTAATTTATTCATTTTCCATATTATTACCTCCGCATGGCTTTCCGCATACCACCATGTAGACTTTGCATTACGACATACCACTGTAGTTAAAGAACCTCTGCCTAATGCACATAAATGGACATTTTGTTGGTTTTTTTTTAAATTTTTATTATTATTTACAAAGTCCACCGATGTACCTAAGTATATAAATACTTATATTTGCAGGAAAGGGGCTATTGAAATTTCTAGGGGCTTAAGCTCATCCTCAATAGTATCTATATTTATATCATAAATCTATTCATACTGCTATATAATACCTACATCAATATATTGACTAATACATTATAAGTTAATAATAATTATAAATAATATACTAATAAAATACTTGCGGTGTTTCCGAATTGCGTGCGAAAATCATTATTTAGGTCGAATGGCGTGTGTTGTTTTTTCGCGATAAAGCCAAGTTGCGTACATGGTTTTGTCGTGACAGAATCGATGAGTTTCGTACATCGTTCATCAACCTACTAACCAAGTTAGATCGGTTAAATTTCATGGATTAGTATAAATAAATCGAATTAAATACAAAAAAACTATTGTGTAGTACACATAATTTATATTTTGATTAAACATTACAATATAAATTCAAAAAACCATAATAAAAACAAAATAAACGTAGAATACTGTGTGCTATTATACAGATTTTGATCAAAACTTATCGATTCAGTGCCAAAAGTATCCCAAGATACAATATATCGAATTTACTAGCTATATTTACAATAATACCTATATGACATAAGGCGCAAGTCGACAAAAACCGATTGGTCGTCTACTCAAACTTTAACGAATGCAATTCGAGCTTGTCAAAAATATTCGTAAGCAATTTCGCTCTGTCACAAAGAAACTGTGCACACAACTTGGTTCTTGTTCAAAATTATTGGTTTTTTTTTTGGCACGCAATTTAGATGCAGCTAATATTTATATTGTTTAATAAATGCTATGTTTTGGAAAAAAATTAAATTTATCATACATTCATACGTTACTAAAAGTAAAATAAATTTCTTTAATAGCAATATAAATATATCATAAAAAATATTTAGAAATAGAGACTGACAGTTGACACAATGTCCGATCAGAATCATTTTTTGTACTCATACTATGATTTATAATTGAATTCAATTAAAAACAGGCAATACAGAGCATTACATTTAGTAGGTCACTGTAGTTTGTAATAGGTAGATGTAAATTGAATAACTGTAACTCTTCACTGAAAAATGGTATAGAAAAAGTAAATATTTTTCGTGAATCTTTACATTTCTAAAAATGTGTAGTGTGGCCATCGCTCGTAGCGCGAACAATATCTGTACGGTATTCGAATTTTTCCCAAACATGCTCCAGCGATTTAATGCAACATGTCGGAGCGCATTTGGGAAGAGTTTGATATTTTCCCCGATTATTGTTAGCGTTACGAGCGTCGAACGATGGCCACATTAAGCATTTGTAGAAATGTAACGATTCAAAAAATATATACTTTCTCTGCTCCGATTTTTTAACAAAGAGTTACAGTCATTCAATGTACATCCATTTCTGTAACCCACTGAATGAAAACTGTTTCTCTCAAAAAGTCGAAAATAATTAAATAGTAGAGTAACTTCCCTGGTTTTTATTTATTATTATTACAGTTCGCAATTCATAGTTTTTTTCATGTAGATACATCAATATAAATTATATAATTTAAGTAAAATGGTTTATTTGTGTAAATATTTTGTTATGTTACTCAAAGATTATAATAATTAATATGACAAAGTAATACCTTATACAGCAATACTATTAAATGTTACATCACCTTAGTTATGAATTAATATAAAGTTAATGAAATGAAACACGATTTATTTTAAATACTACATTATATTGGTTACCTACGTGAATTATTATATAGATATATGAATACCTATATTATATTAGGTACCTATTATATTGATAATTTGTATAATTATGTACATGTTTTATATCTTTTATGTCGATAATGAAAACAAATAATTAAATAAATTGATACTTGTAGATATCACAAACATTATGATTAAAATATGTACTCGTATTTAGTTTACACGTATCAATTAAGATGCATTTTATGACTAATTTTCAGCACAAGATACGAATCCATGTTGTTCTTCGTCAGTTTTCATAACTCCTACTTGTTCTGCGTATTCCATTTCCAACGTTATTGACCAACCACTCGATCTATCAATTCGTTGGAAAAAATAATTGTACTATTAAGTAGTGTTTAATGTTTTAGTGCAAATTATAATTAGTCAACTACATACTCGTACATGGATTTATTATAATAAATGTATATACTTTTACTTATATATTATGTTTTATTATTGTGCATGATGAATGTTTAAAATTATTGATTTAAATAAAAGTTTTGAAATAATTTTTTGTTTTATATTATAATCTTCCTACGTATAATGTATATAGCAGTATTATAATAATGCTTATCATCAAAATGTCATTATTAATGAATAGTATAATAATTAGGAGTAATGTTGCATCTATATTATATTAGAATAAATAATTAAATTATCATATTTACTTTAATCAATCATTTTTTTTTTTTTAAATATACAACATTACATTCAACCAATGTATAACTTACAAGTGTAATAATCTTTAAAGTGTTTTCTTGGGTCACTAATGATGTAACCTACTACTACTACTTACATATTATAAATAGATACTTTTTTTTTTTATAATAATAATAATATTAACCTTAGTTTAAATATGCTTTAACTTGTCCTTCACACATAGTTAGTTGCCTTAATAAACACAGATATGACTTAATATTTTGTGAATTAATATAACATTTATATAATTATATAATACCTATTTACTTTAATAAATTAATATTTTAAAAAGTCAACATAGAAGTAAATATTTACGTAGCCAGTTGACATACTCGTACATTAAATGGTTTATATAATTATTAGTATTTAGTACAGTAAAAATAAATTATTTTTAATCAAAAATTCAAACAGCAATTAAGTATATATAATTTTTCGAATATAATGTTTATCTAATAATTTAAACGAATGAACGCTTGTATTTTTATAAGAAGTTGCATTTAGATGTTTTGAATACTATTAAATACGAGTTTATCTCTTCAGTGATATTACTCAGATTTTATTTTTATGCCAAATTTCATAAAAATTGTTGAATCAATAGTGATCTAGAACCTAACCAAAAAAGAGACTGCTCGACCTGCGAACTCTATGACAAAGAACTGACGATCAAACATATCACGCTAGAATGCCCCAAGTTCAACATCTCCAGACAAATTCCTCGGAAATCCATCATCGATGAAACAAGCACTTGGAGAAGAGAATTCCAAAAATATATACAATTTCTTCATAAACATAGACCTAGCAAAATTAATGTAAAAAAAAAAAAAATGTATGTAATATATTTTACATTTCCCTTTTTATGTTTAACATAATGTCTCCCCATAAGATTAATACTTTATAATAATCATAGGATAATGACCTGAGTTGTCGAAGCCTTTTAACATAATAAAAAAAAAATAAAAAAAATAGTGATCTAGTGATCACTTAAACACGACTTTGTGGCCCACGATTAGTGAACCATTAAATCAAACAATTTTTTTATTAAATGTTGTATATTATAACGACCTCAATAAGCACTGCCCGTGTTAAGTTTTTAAGTACAAACGGCTCAAGACACTATTAAAATACAAGAATTATTGTTATTACAGGTTATTACTAGTTTCTTACAAAGAGTTACAAAATATTAAAAGATATAACATGTATAAAATTAAAAGATGGTCAACTGTAATAAAACTCAAAAATAAATAAACACATAAAACATAAAATAGATAAGAGGTTCCCCATTTGGTAAATGTTAGGGTCATGCTATAGCTTCACATCCAGGTTTTTCATCCATTCCACCGCTTCTTCTTTCGCCAGGTGGATATCTTCTATGGTGCCTTAAAATGTACGAATTGGACATTCAGTGGTGATGTAATTGATCGTCTAGGATTCATAGCCACGTTTCATTGTCACGCAGTCCCCATTTATACATCATGTGATCACTCCTACCATAACCTATCAGTTCTGATACGGTTTAGTGTTACTCAAGTATTTCTTTCGAGGGCAAATCCCGGTTGTTTGATAGTTGAGTTAATCACCAGTTTTTGGTTATCTGGATTTTCTATTGTCCGATTGTTTTCCCATTTAGAACTTATAATGAAATTTTCTTTGGTGAGATCCCTTGCTGTTTTCCATGGTGGTTTTCGCGACTTTAGTCGTTGAACTAGTCTTATAAGTATTAATAAAAGTGATTTAGTAAATCTCATCAAATCTGATAGAGAATAATAACGCAAATTTTCGAATTTAAAAATGTTTAGAATTATATGTATGTACTATGTACATGATCCAATGGCAACATTGTCATTACATTTGTTTGCTCTCATTATTATAAATTTTAATTTATATGTACATTGTACATATAATAAATGTATTATACTATTATAGTATAATTATTTAAGAGTAAAATTTTTAATTTTTATTATTATTGTTATAAAATAATAGTAAATTTTTAATAAAATATAAAATAGAATGTATGGGTTTTTAATAATTGATGATGCTGAATGCTACTTGCACCTTACAATAAACACGATTTTTTTGGATTGAACTAAAATAAATTTTTCTATAAAATCAAACATAATTCCAACAGAAAATGTATTTTTTATCACGAGAAAATAAACCACAAGTCCATGTCAGAATATTAAATACGACAATAATAAAAGTCCAATAATATGTAAAATGTAAACTAAAATCGTATTTTTCTAAAAGTCTTATTTTCAAAACAATATGTAGTACTTATATGTACGTTGCTAAGTTATAAATGTTATTATATATTTGGTTATACACGTAGACACGTTAAATTGTGTATGTATAAATTACATTTGCGGAATCGTGTATATTGTATATATACCTATGTATACATTACACATGGTTATTAAAATATTAAATCTTACAAATATAATATATTCATATTATTATCTGATATAATTTATAAACAATTGATAGATAATTGGCTATAACATTAATTAATTAGCACGGTTAAAAGATACATTCTAGATAAGTAAAAAAAAAACTTGTTCTGCTAAAGTGAATTATTTTCAATTTTTTAGCTATAGACTATAGCTAGTAACATATTAAATAACAGCATAAATAATTTGCTGATTTAAAATATATTCAAATATTCAAATTCTAAGTAATTGATTATTGATGAAATTATATTTTTATAGTTGATATAATCATTAAGCGATTACGATAATATTATTAAATATAGGTATAGTTTTTACGTGCTGATACAGTAATTAAATGTAAAATTTATATAATATGATTATATCATACGCTTTATAATCAATAACAAATATATTAAAAATGTAATTAAAAAAATGAAGAAAAAAATTAAATTATTTTAAGAAAATAATTTATAACTACCTAATAACATTTTTTTGTATTCATACCTTCTAAATGTTATTACTTATTATTTATTAATTATTAATATACTTTATAACATATATATATATATATATATAATGTTAACATACATTTTATTAATATTCTTAACTTTTATTCAATAATAAATAATAACTAATGACAAAGTAAATACTAAATATTTTAACAGTACCTAGTAAGTTCCTGATATCTATTTATCTGTATAATTTCTACTCACTCTCTAATCTAACTTAGTATGGGCGTAAGTTATAACTCACAACTATGGACCTATAGATTTATACACAAAAAACACGTAAAATATATACTTACAGATACATAATTTGATAAATATACGAATATTTTCAAAAAATAAAAAATAAAATAAATATAAATTAATAATTATTAATAGATTAATAAAATGTTTATTTATTTATATCAATATGTAACTAGTTTGTTTTTCAATTTTTTTAATACAAGTTACAACTATACTCTAAAATTAAACTTAAACTAATTTGTAAAATCAACATGTTTGGAAAATAATATCATCATTTTTTTAATTATTTCTTTGCCAAAACCAAATATATTGTTAATAGGTATTCTATCATATTTTTTTCCGAGCTTCTTTGTGTTTCAAAGATATACAAATTTTAACCACTCTCTAGGGACGCGCATGGGGTACAATTTTTTTTTTTCAATAATAAATAGCAACACGTATACGTACCTATAATTAAAACTATTTCTATAAAAATTGTTTAATATATATATTTTTTCATTAGAATGCTCTTTAAGTTTACTCATAAATAGTGATGTATCTTTGTACCAACACGTGGAAAATTAATTCCCAAAACCAATTTTTTTTTTTTTTGGACGAGATAAAATTTTTTTTATGAACATTTAATTATATGTAGTTCTAATTTTATCCAAACTGAATATTAAAACAAACATTATTGATTTTTTACAATTTTTTTTTAATTTTTTTTTATTTTCTACTATAATAATTAAAAACTGTATTACAATACGTTTTTATTCATTATTTTGTAAGTTTATTTCGTCAAAATTGATATACTACGTAATATTAATAAAATATATACATACAGTATGTTATATCTTACAAGTGTTTTATAAAATTACGATCGTCAGCTACAGCAAACAGCTGCGAAGAAATTATTATAGCATTATTACGATTTGTAATACAATTCAACAACATTCTCCACACTCAAAGCACGCGTGCGCCTGTGTCGTATTTTTACTATTTTTATAATAATACACATGCGCGCAGTCGTATACAATATTACATATTATTACATTATAATAAAGTATGCACGCGAAGCGCCGGCGGTACTGCTATACCGCCATTCACCCAACGTTCAACGGCACCCTTTGTTACTCCGTTTTTACCGAAAAAGTCGCGTGGCGCGCGTACATATACAAACACTGTATACAGGACGATTCCTCAAGCATGCTCACTGTAATTTTTTCCTTTAATTACTCAAATTATTTCAAATTTATTCAAGCAATAGTTTTTAAAATAGTCTGGTACATAGATAAAGATCATATTCACATTTCTTAGAAAAACGTATGTCTATTATTATATATATCCTCCGGTTTATATATATATATTATGTTTGGATGAGAAACTCTCTTTTCTTCTTTTTACTGTACATTTTGAAGTAATTGATCTATTTTAAAATATTAATTGATCAGAAGAAAAATTATTAATTACATTTTTAACCTTAATAAGTAAAAACTATGAAATTTACTTTATAACAACACATCAATATAATTTTTTTAAATAACTATACTTGAACTTGAGTTTGAATATTATTTTATCATAAAGTCAGTGTATAATTCAATGGTAATTATATAGGTTAAGAAAATATATGAGCTATGGCCTATGATTTGTATATAAATTACATAAGATGTATCCTAATAAATTTAGGTATAAATATCATATTTTGCATTATTAGGTATACTCGAACAATTTGTTGCATACTATGCATTGCTAATAAAATGAATGTTAACCATAGCGATTACTGGTTACTATGTTATTTTAAAACATCATAACTCATGTGAAATAACGTCTTTCAGAATAGATAATAAAGTTTATAATAACTTTGATACTTGCAGTCGTTGGATTTTGGATTCCGATTGTAAATATGTCTTGGACATTTTCAAAGTTAACAGTAAAAAAGGCTCTCTCAGTGGAAAAAATAAAGAAAAAAACTTCTTTTTAAGTAGCATAAAACAAACCCTCAACATAAGTAATGAAAATACATTACGATCTTCAAGTATAATATTATGGGAAATTTAAGAAATCTAAAGTTGAATTGGAGCACTTAACTTTGGGTGAGCACACTTGGTAAAAATCGTCCTGTATATATACACGGCCATAGCGTGCCGCCCGTGTGACGCTATGCCGAGTCGGCGGCGGCGGCGCGTGGAAGATATCCGCGAAGCGCTCGAGCAGCGTATTTAGACCGTCGTCGGCGGGGGTGTGTTGTGGCCCGTGAACGATCGTGCGCTGTCGTTTCCTATTTTTTGTGCGTGTGTGTGTATCCAAACACGAGCAACCAGAGGCCGCCGCCGAGCGGATTACGAAAATAAAATCCCCCGTACGCCCCTAGCGAACCGACGCCTGTTGGTCCCCGCGATTAACCGTCGTCCCGAACCGCGGCGGTCGAATTTTTGTTGTTTTAAAACGCGTTAATTGTTCATTACGAATTGCGCTCGTTTCGAGCTCGCTCCGTACACACAGTATAATATTATTTGTCGACATTGACCGTAAATCTTTTATTGTCTATATAATTTCTCGCTTTCGATTCCGCAGTTCGCTCTTCGTTTCGGTTCAGGACAACCGACGAGTGGTTTGTCCGCTAAAATAAATCGCGATTTATCGTGTACGACGATGAATATAACAATATAGTTGGTATACACAAGTGTAGACGGCCCCGTCGGAGTGATCCATTAATAAATCGTCGCGTTTTACCGCGTCCGCCACCTTTACGTCGGGCCAATTTGTACGTCACCGTCGTCGCCGTAATTACTATTGTAATTACAGTCGTGTACAGTCAGCGAACTTTTTAACGTCCGTCGCCGCCGCCGCCGCCGAACACTTGGAATGCTATGGCCGTTCGGCGCGCACACGCCCGTCTAGGGCGGTTCTATTAATAAACGCGTCCGACGCGGTGGTGCGGTGCACCGCGTTTGGCGCACACATCGTATTGTTACAATAACAACAACAACAATTATTGTGAACCCGCGGGCACAGTGTCGTCGTGCGAAAATAATTCGCGTGTGCACACCACGATAATCCGCACAAATACATAATGTAATACGCACTAATCACGATATACAACCACAACAACAATATCTAATAATAAATGGTCGTGGCGGGGAGGAGGAGACACTATCTCGTCGGTACGTATATCATCATACGACCGGAATACAACACGTTTTATACCGCATACACGCGTAGACCACACGTGGCAAGATAGGCGGTAGCGGTGGCGGTGGTGGAGGTGGCGGCGGCGGTGGTGGCGTAATCGGAGAAGAAGGAGTAGTAGGAGGTGTATAAGAGGAGAAGTTAAAGGAGAAGGAGTCGAGTGTGGTCATATTAATAAACGATCCCCCTACGCTACTATATATACGCCGGTCGCGCGATATATAGTCGGTGTGTAATATAGTGTTAGTATATTATTATATCGGACGGGCGGCGGAGTGATCGAACCTTCCAAGCTGGCCCATCAGTTTTGGCTCGGTTGGGGTTCGGGCTCGGGCTCGTGCCGCGCGCAGACGGACGAGGAGAAGAAGGAGAAAAAAGAAATGGCCGAGGCGGCGGCCCGGCACGAGCTGTACACGCAACAGCAGTGGGCCCATCAGCGGGCCGAACGCGCCGAGCGAAACGCCGAGAGACTGGAGAGGGAGATACAGGCGCAAGCCGCCTCGGCCGCCGCGTCAGAGTCCCTCGCCGAGCTACACTACGTCGACAGCCTGTCCGGGTCCGTCCAATCCATGTAAGCGCGTTTTTCTTTATGCAAAACTATCTATAATATTATATTAGTCAGCACCAGTAGTACCCATTTAAATATAAATATTATAAAAATCTATCGATGTGTGCCCGTCTGCCTGCCCGAGAAGATTTAAATATATATTGCACCGAACGACGACCATAAATTGAAATACAACCGTAATTTGATGTGGGCAGTTAATTATGACTATTATTATAGAACGGGATTCCGTTGGCACAATGTTTCACACTATATTAAAAAAAAATACTACATCGCGTCTATATACGTACGCAACAGTTTGTTGATATTGTGTACCTATGACAATGTATTATGATATGCAATTGCTTAAATCTTTCGCTTATGCACCGCTAACCTGCACGTAAACCACATAAATAAACGATTTGTATCGTTTACCCGTAATACCGATACTTGATGTAGTTGATGTATTACATCAACAATGTACTCGCACAAGGAAATTTTTCGCTTTTTTTTTTTTTTTTTTTTTAATATTTCAACACGTCTTCTACTGCACTCGTCGGTCTTGCGTGTACTCGTGTATTATAATGCCTACGCATTAACACTCATTACGCCGCGTGCAGTCTACACTATATTATAATGTATCGTAGCACACGGGAGGCGCTTGCCGCGCTTACGTTAAATATATATTATACAGCGCCATCGACGGCGGTCGCGAAAGTTCGACCGACCGCCGCCACCTCCGACTGTCCGATTGCCGCGCGACGTGACTCCGCGATACTGCCCGGCCGTGACAGTCGCGCGCAGAGGCGGAGGAGTACTCCTTCGGCGGGCGAGAGCGGCTCGACAGCGATCAATTACGAAAGTCGGCAAGGCACCCGCCAAACTCGGGACGCAAGCGCGCGCGCCCGCGTACCCGCACAGACACGGCCCACCCTTTCCACCCACCCGCCGGGGCGGCGTAACTGTTCGCCGCAATACTGCTCGACGGCAGTTGTACGCGTACAAACGCCCTGCAGGTCGCGCGATACACGGCGGACGATATCCACCGCTGCAGGTGTTGCCGTAATACGTGCGAGCGATGATGGGCAAACGCGCTGCGATGGGTCCCGCGTAGCTGTTGACCGCGACTTCCGGTCGCCGGGCGCACCATCGGGCGACGCGAATAGTAATAATAATAATAATAATAATAATAATAACAATAATGCAATAAGCGTGCTGCTGCTGCAGCAGCCGACGGAACATCGCCGCACGTACACGTCGTCGTACACTACAATATATTTATATTAACGTCCGTGTACACGTTATTTTTACCTGTATATTTCAACACTTATTTATCACGGTATACACCCGCTAACCGTGGTATGCGACTGCGGTAATAATTATAACATCGTAAACGATATCGTGTTATAGGCACCTGTACGGGGCGCGCGCGCGACGATACCATAATATTATGCCGTCGTGTCGCGGTCACCGCTGCCGCCGCCGACGCCGCCGCCGTCGTCGTCACATCGATATCGCGTCACACGCCGTCCGCCGTATGATGTGAATTCCGTTAGCGGTCTTTCGTTTCTCTCTCTCTCTCTCTTTCTTTCTCTCTCTTCTCTCTTTTTTCTCTCTCTTTTTATACGACTATATATCTTGTCTCTCTGTCCGTCTGACTCCTGCAGCTAATAATACGTATTTCGTACTTCACGCGCCCGAGATGTTATTTCAATTTCCCGTAAACGACGGAGGTGGTCCGCAGAGGACCAGCTGCAGCTCTAGTAAAGACGACTCGCAACAGACGTCTCTGTATAAGTAAGCTATCATAAGACATACATACTCTCAAACCGTGCTCGATATTAAAATATTTCGTTAACAACTGCAGTGTTTTAAAATCAGCATATCCGTATCGGTATGTCTATTTTATACAGAAATCAACTGTAAAATTCCGTCGCCATTCATTATGTTGTTATATATTTGTACAAAATTTCAATCAAAAAAAAAAAAAATAGTAAATATAAAGCCTATAATACGTATAATATAATTAATATAATTTAATATCAGTGAATAATGTGTTTAGATTGTTTATTTCGATCGTGTTTCCTTAATACACTAGTTTTTATTTGTATTTTGTATATATTTATATATATATATATAAGAATTAGAACGCTTTGGGTCGACGTCAGAGATATAGAGGTACGTGACGTTCCACACGCTGCCACAGCAAAGGCGTCAAGCAGTCTCTAAAACTCTGACGGAGAATCGATAAAAACCATTACAGCTGCTGATGGTTACCCTGCTGCCTCACCACTTTTCCATTGTCCTTGCTTGAAATTTTATGTGTGTACATTTATTACACTGCTGTCTCATAGCTCCAGAAACTATATAATATACGTATTTATGTATATACATTATGTATTTATTTTTAGTTGAAAATGACCACAAACTATATAATAATTATGTAGGTAATTGTTTATATACATACAACTGTATAACTGTCAGTTTTCATACATGCGCACGTTCAAAATTTTTTATCCACGAATGTACACGTATAAATTTGTCATTATATAATATGGTACAAATTCCTTTAGTTATGTACAATTTACTTTTGCAGCCAATGCCTAATATCAATAACTAATACTTAGATACATTATAATTTATAACATAGTTTTTATTTCGCAATCTGAATAGTGCGTTTATCAGAGGAATTTAGTACTTGAATTTTTCTAATCACTGAAGTTAACAACTACAGGGAAGATGTACTTAACATTTTTAAAACTTGAATAGTGAAAAATGTAGTCTTGAACATTATAAGTATAATGTATTGATACATATTATATGAACTATAGCGATTGTAGTTTGTACTAAATGTATACTGTTTGTATAAATATTATGTATATTTTAATTGTTATTATCAAAACATTTTAAACATTTGAGAAAAATTTTTAACTTTCTATAACAGAACTCTAAACTTAAACCTATATAAATTTTAATAAATAAATAACAATACATTTTAGGTACGAGATACTTCTTAACCGTTGTCTGTTAACATACTTAAATATTATTTAATTGCTTTTTAAGCTAACAACAATAATAATCAGGATATGACTAGCAGTGATTGAACATTAAACATCATTTTACAATACACAGATTAAGTAAATAGCAAGTTGGTTGGCTTATGAAAATTCAAAAGATATATTAAATATAAGAAATAAACTTACACACTTAAGCAAAAAAAAAAAGTTAACTTATGTTACAATTTACCATGTCTGTTTCTTTTTTTAATTTTTATTTTTGAATATCTATTGTGGTATAATGTAAAAAAATTCTAAACTATATTATACCTTAAACACATACAAGTTTAAATAATTATTTTAGACTCAAATCAATAATATACGTATAATGGTACAAATTAAAATAACACAATTGCACAATCACGTACTACTTACATATAAACCTATTGAAACCCTGTTGATAAGTAATAATAATAATAATAATAAATAATAATTAG